CACGGATATAGACCTCGCAACTAATAAAAAGAATCCTTAATTTATATTTGAGAAAGAATCCTTAATTTATATTTGAGAAAGAATCCTTAATTTATATTTGAGAAAGAATCCTTAATTTATATTTGAGAAAGAATCCTTAATTTATATTTGAGAAAAAATCCTTAATTTATATTTGAGAAAGAATCCTTAATTTATATTTGAGAAAGAATCCTTAATTTATATTTGAGAAAGAATCCTTAATTTATATTTGAGAAAGAATCCTTAATTTATATTGAACTATACTAAAGTTCAATCTGGATTACACCAGATCAACGGACAATTTTAGAAAGTTCACTGGTGGATAGTGTTATCCGGCCTTCGTACAACTGAACCCAGGAAACTATTTTTAAGTAGAGCCATAAACCATTTACTTTTTAAAATGTTATTTCAGTGCAATATGAAAATCTGCTTTACAAGATATACAAAGAGTTGTCTGGGCTATAATATTTTTCAAATGCCTTGCTTTTTGCTTACCCGATAACTGTTCGAAAGCAGAGATAAAATAAGGCTTTGTGGTATCCGGTAGCTGAAGACGAGACTGGTAGCACTTTCCGAGACCTTAATAATTCCGGTTATTGCAAAAGCAAATTCAATTACTGTTTTATTATACATCGCATTTTCATTAAACTCCTTCGAAAAATAATGATTTGTCGCACAAAACAACGTTTACAATAACAGCATAAAAGTATCGCGGTGCCGAAACGAAGTTAGGCATCGCTTTATATTCGCCGCGTGAGTTTGTTGGTCGGTTAGTTTGTTAGTACGTTAGATTGTTGGTTGGGTATGTTAGGAATTACAAGCCTTGGTAGTTATTCAAAGGTAGTATGTCTTTGCGCTTGTGGTGCACTTGTTTTGCGCATGCTCACGGACCGCACTGTAGTAGTAGTATCTCTGGTTAGAACATTCACAAAAATGTCGTTCGTTCACGTTTTTATTCGTGAATGTTCACACTAGCAATTCTGTCGTTAGCTTGTCAGTCGTTCACATCAGTTATGGAAAGATAAAATTAAGATTATAATAGAATTATTTCACCATTGCAAACATTCAACCACCTGAACCTCTACTCAAGGTCTTCAAATAATTGAGGAGAAAGAGCTACCTTTACATTGACATCAGTAAAAGGTTAGACTTTTGTGTCTTCTCGGGTGAGGACGTAGGTACCTCGGATCCCTTATATGAAATGGGCTATTGCCTGTTGGGAGTGAGAAACTCGATAAACACTAAAAAAATCAAGAAATGCTTGTGATGTTACTCTGAGTGTATATCCACACCGGGCAGGCTTGAAAAATATGCCTGGCCACGGTGGGAATCGAACCTACGACCTTTGAAAAGGCCTTTTCCAAAGGTCGTAGGTTCGATTCCCGCCGTGGCCAGGCATATTTTTCAAGCCTGCCCAGTGTAGATATTCACTCAGAGTAACATCACAAGCATCTTATTCACCTGAGTACATTACACCAACACAGAAAATATCAAATTCAAGAAACTTATAGTTATATGTACAACTTGTTATTTCTGTAGGAGAATGTAAACGATGACAAGGCATCGAGGTGGAACATTCTAAGAGAAGATTTCATGATGGGAGGAAAAATGAAAGACTGGGACAAAGATGACGATATTGAATATGATAATGAAAATAACCAACAAACTGTTGCTATTGATGAGGAAAGTGACTAAGACTGGGAGTCACGATGCGGACAGTCGAGGAAAGGGAGAAACAAGTGCGTGAAGTTCAATGAAGAAGTTGGCGATTTATTCCGAAAGATTATGAACTGTGAGGATACACTGTGAAAGTGCTTAGCGATGTCTGGGACCAAGGAGTAGTGTTGACATATGATTATGACAGTCATTATGTACACCAGTGAGATGGATAATGGAATAATTTGAATTTTGGTGACGAATGATATCAAACTACTCTTTACAAACTATGCTGGGTGTAAGAAAAATGTTCAATCATATTGAAATTTGATAACAACAAAGATATCGATTGTGATAACGATTATGAAGTAATTCCTTCATAACTGGTTGTAGGTTTGTTGAAAATAATAACGATAAAGTTGTGGTGCCGATTGTAACGAAATTGTCAGAATTTGACTTACGACATCGTATACATTCAGTAACGAGAGGAAATAGTTTATTTGGCGGTGACTGTAGACTAAGTTAGGGAGCTGGATATACTCGATGATTACAAATTATTTTAATGATTACATGTATGTTTTAATGATTTATATTCCATAATAATATGAGTGTGATTGAGTGCTGCCTTTCCATTTTGTGATCTGTTAAGCCTGGTTTCCACTTCAACCGTATTGTACCGAAGCGTAGCATTTTCTTTGTTTCCTGAGCAGTAGAGTGGAACTAATGACTTCAACACAAAAGAAAATGCTACGATACGTTACGTTACGTTACGTTACGTTACGTTACGATACGGTTGAAGTGGAAAACAGCCTTTAATCTGATTTAGAAAACATGTACAGATGCGCCTTCGAAACAAAAAAAATTCTTTATGCAAAACAAAAAGTTTGAATAATTTGGGGTCCCAGGGATATCCTCAACAGCGTTGTCATACTGAATACAACATTAAACTTAAGCCTTGGCGCACACGAGAGCTATCTGCTGAGCAAAAATTTACTCGTGACCATTGACGTTAGGAAGTTCCCCCAGTGTGCGGCGACGTTTTAAGAGCTTTTGTTCACGCGTGCCATGTGGCCCATGTTCACCGAATATTCAACATGTTGAATAATTTTGTGCACGAGTGCTTGTATTCCCCACGTGTGCGCGCTCGAAAAGCTGTCACATTTCAATGTAGATCGAATAGTCATGCGTAACAAAACCTAAGACAAAAGGAAAATAGTTATGAGGAATATTTATATGTTGCTACTCAAGTATTACATTCCTCATTAATTATTTTCCTTTTGTCTGATGTATTACGCATGCCTATTCTAAGAATAGGCATGCGTAATAAAACAGTATTCTATCTACAATGAAAGGTGATAGCTTTTCGAGCGCGCACACGTGGAGAAAATGTTCATTCGTGACTGAAATTATTCAACATGTTGAATATTCGGTGCCGATGGCACGCGTGACTGAAATCGCTCAAAACGCCACCGCACACTGGGGGAACTTGCGTACGCCAACAGTCATGAGTGACGCTCACCAGATAGCTCTCGTGTGCGCCAGGCTTTAGATCTGTTTCATTACTTTTATACGTCGAATTTTGGTCGCGTCAATTAAGACAATAGAAAATGAGATGATAAACCTCATTAAGTTTCATTATCTATTGTTTGAATTGCATTCGACGCGACCGAAATTCGACGTATAAAACAGGCCTAAGTTTTCACGACATTGGAGTAACGTGAAAGTCGTGAATGCTTGTGACGTTGAAGGAGTTACATAAAATCTGTTCATACATGCAGGATGTATCAGAAAAAAGTACACGGTTGGAAAAAGTTCACTAAAGTCAGATGCGCGCGACATTTGCGAAAACTTTCAGTATTAAAGCTTATGTACTTTAAAGACTAATTTCCACTCAGGAAAATTATCCGTGGATTGGAACGGACAAGAAAAGGTTTCTTTGTCTTGTGAGCTCTGGGTTTTCTTGTCCGTTCCAATCCACGGATAATTTTCCTAAGTGGAAATTAGTCTTTACGTTCTCTCTGGTACATCTAGCACTGAAATTATTTAAAATGCTAGCGTTTTTAGAGTAGGAAAGCTGTTACTAGAAACCCCCAAAAAGGCCTTGCGCAAAAACATTTTTTATCGGATACAAAATTTAATCACACAGTGTCAAAATATGGACGTTCTTACAAAATATGGACTTTCTTGTCAATAATTGTGTAAATAAACGCTGTTAATAACTCTAGGACCTTTGGGAATTAGCTTGCGAATTTTGTACTGTAATTTATGCAAACGTCCGAGCATGCATAAAATTAATTTGAAATCATGCAAAGAAATCGCGTTTGAACTAACAAAATGGAAGAAATCCAGGTTTTGAAGATCTCGCGTTGGCCTACGCGTGCAACAAATATCTTGAAACTTTGATAGCTTGTGCAAGACAGTCCATATTTTGACTCGGTGTGATTAAATTTTGTTTTCGTCAGGTTCAGATTTGACTTCCACTACTGCTACCATTGGGGATCATTAACCAATCAGACGCGTTTGATATATCCGATTAACCAATCAGATGTGTTTAATATATCCGATTAACCAATCAGATGCGTACTAAGCCGGTGAGAGGCAGTGGTAGTGGAAGTCAAATATGAACCTCTTAATATCAACCGACGGAAAGGTTACACATAGCTTGTGCATTAATTTGAAATTGACAGGCGTAAAAAACAAGATTTGTTATATAGGTAATCGCATGGGGCCTCGTAAAATTAAGGTTTAATTTCACGTATGTTTTCAAAGTTTCACAAATTGCGCGAAGCGACGAGCCTGATTTGTGAAACTTTGAAAGCACAAGTGAAATTAAACCTTAAAGTGCGACTAACCCCAAATACGATTTTTGACTTGTGTCATTCGAAGAAATGTAATATATTCTTTACAGTAAAAAATCCCATCTTGATCAACTTTTTCGCTGTCAAAGTTTCCGGATATGATGTCATTAGAGGAATTGCAAATTAGTTTTCCTTTGTTTTTTGTACCAAAAATTCACCTAATGCCGTCATATCTGGAACTTTGACAGTGAAAAAGTTGAAGATGATGAGGTTTTTTACTGTAAAGACATATTGCATTTCTTCTCAGAATGACCCAAATATTACACATACCAAAAATCATATTTGGGGTTAACTAGTCGCACTTTAATTTTACGAGGAACTACATGTTAATCGCGTTTAATATATCCGATTGACCTGGTATAGTGGAGGTCAAATCTAAACCGAGTGAATGGGGACGCAAGAAACCGCGTACACAAATGGATGAATTGACGTATGAATCCGAACTCATCGATTCTGGTGAGACGTATCCTGAGAAAATTTTATAGAAATTATTCTTTAAAAACTCGACAGAGAATTTTATTACATAACTATTTAAAAATCTATATATACATTAGTATCTAACAACATAGCCTGGTAAAATACGATTACTTCCTTGTACTTCCTTGCAATGAGCTCAATCACCGTGACCGTGCACATGCAAACAAAATTATTTCTGTTCAGTTTCCAGACCATCATGCCTTGATAGACTGCTAACAACTGTTTATCAACTATTTAACAACTTAAAAGTATAAAATATATGGCCTGTTTTCATAATGTACTTTGTCTTTGAACTTATATCAACTACCTTCAACAAGGTCAGTAAAATATATATATTTAGATATGAACAAACTATTTCAACAAAACAAAAATATGCACAGTGAAGAATGAAGCATATAAAAAAAATTCTGCATGTCCTTATATGTAATTAATTCTCACTATTTTCTCTTTCCTCGCTCCCATAACAAGAGTCGTTTTCGTCTGTACCTGCCGGACTTTCGTCTGTGCTTGTAGGGTTTTCGTCGTTACCTGTGGAGTTTTCCTGCGAAGAAAGTAAAGTTACAGCTAAAAATCCTGGTTGTATACTTCGTTGAGCTCTATTAGTAAGAACTTCAGTCATTCGACCTACGAGTATTAAAGTGAAGTAAAGATGGCAGCCATTGACGTCCAAAACTATGAAGGTCGCGTATATCAGTTTTCATGCCATCATTTCTTTGTTTCGAGTGCATGTCGTTGAGATACCGCGTCACAGATTATCGCAAGGTCCCAAAAAATGCAATAGCTGTGTTCCAGATTTTTACACAGTTAAAGGAATACGTCAATATATCTTTTCTTATTTCATTTGGAAGAACTTTTAAAATGATATGTTAATCTCTTTTACCGATTTTGCGTAACTTTATTATTTCTTGAGATATTTGAACAGAAAAAATCACAAATCAGCGAGCTTTTCGCCATCTTGGATTTTGGCGGATATGCATGTGACATCATAAGCAGGGTCACGCAAGAATTTTATCCATAGAGCAATTGGTTATTATGAGCCCAAAATCATATACTTCAGTAACTATTTGAAATAAAAAACTGTCTGACGACTTTTCAAACAAGACTTAATGTTATTTGGTCATTTAGATGTAGTTTTATATGGCTAACCCTGCTTATGACGTCACTAAAATCACCGATGAGATAAAAATTAATCCAAGATGGCGGACAGCAAATTATTTTAAGTCAAAATTTTTCAAGAAATAATAAAGTTACGCAAAATCGGTAAAGGAGATTAACATATAATTTTAAAAGTTCTTTAAAATGAAATAATAAAAAAATATATTGCCGTATCCCTTTAAAGGCACAGTTCGGCCTTTTGAATGATGGTTTTTACGGCGCATTGCAACCCTTTAATTAGCCTTACTCACGCCGCCATTTTTGGGGTACTTTTTTGCCAATCCTGCGAGCGTCACACCACGTAATGGCGACATTTTATAATTTTGTTGGTATATGATAGTAAATTTACTCTGTAAATAGTTTGTTCTGAAATATTGCTTTTCACATTGTTATAATCGTTTACAAAAAATTACAGTACCCCAAAAATGGCGGCGTGAGAAAGGCTAATTGAAAAAACTATAACTAGGAAAATCAATTAAGCATAATCCAAGATCAGTAAACTCAATGTTTTTAACATTAGAAATGTTTAAAAATGTTAAAAACATTGAAATCACTAATCTTGAATTATGCTTAATTGATTTTCCTAGTTAGTTTTTTCAATTAATTAAAAGGGTTGTAATGCGCCTTAAAACCATCATTCAAAAGGCTGAACTGTCTCTTTAATTATTAGTGGGCATCGAAATAAGAATATTAAAATTGGTGTAGTAGAACCAGGCCTCAAAATTTCGGTCGGTCACGGACATTGTCTGATCCATTCGTGAAATTGTCCGACGTAGAGAGGAAACCACTGGACATTCTGTCGGACCTAAGTGAAACTGAGGTTTACTGTTTGTCCAACCCGGGTGAATTGGTGTCCAAGTTAACTGTAACTTTGTCCAACGTAAATCAAAATGTACCGTAGTCCAGGACTAGAGGCTTGTATGTTAAATGGAGAATCAGAGTAATATATAACTGAAAATGTGCGGGGCTCGGAAATTTATCGCCAAGATTCAAATAACTTTTCCAAATTGTGCTGATATTAATTTGTGTCTGCATTCATACTTATTTCCAAGTCAAACTGATCTCAAAGTCATCGGAATTACTGTACCCCAAAGTCTGGTTAACTCATTGGATCTTTGAACAGCGATAACATTGGTTCTAGCGATAACATAAGTTAAAATATAGAGATTCAGATTTGACTTCCACTATCGCTGCCATTAAGGCATAATCAACCAATCAATCCGATCCAAAGTTATCGAACATTTTGTCAGACGGTTCTCCGACCGATATTATAGAGGTTCAGATTCGACTTCCGCTACCACTACCTCTCACTGGCTTAGTACGCATCTGATTGGTTGATCGGATATATCAAACGAATCAGATTGGTTAAGGTTACAGGACACCCTTTTTGGCGTTTTGTGGAAAATCGCTGAAAAATGCAAAATATGACAAAGTTGTAAAATTGACAAACAATAAAATGTAAGAATTATTCAGGAAAATCTTAAGTCGCGGTACCTTTATGCTTTCGAGTTCTGTTCCTGCTGGTTTTAAGATATATTTAGGAAAATATCATTTTTATACAGGAAAATAGTTGTTCTGAAAAACTGTGTTCGGAAATTTTTGTTTATTTCGTCATTCCGCTGATATGGCGATTTCTTTGACGACTGCGATATATTTCTGAATCGTTTGTGTGAATTGCTCCTTATTATTAAAATATCAAACATTAGAACAAAGCCGAACACAATTTTGAAACTGACGTCTTTAGCCATGTCCTGTGAAAATTTGAGAAAAATTCGTTAAAACCCGCAGGAGCACAACTCGTTTAAAAATCAGTAATTGCCGTAAAATTCTTCGGGAGAAAATTGAATTTGAATATTACATTTTCAATGTTTTTCTTATTGCAGCGAAATGTATTTTATTCAATAACTCTGTGAGTTTTCAACATTTTTCGTCCAAACTTGGTCAGATAGTAGAACTAGTCTAATGCTTTCATGAAAACCAATAAAAAAATTTTAGGCAAAATTAACACTCAAAGGTGTTTTGTAACCTTAATCGGATATATCAAACACATTTGATTGGTTGATTATACCTTAATGGTAGCGATAGTGGAAGTCAAATCTGAATCTCTATATTTTAACTTATGTTATCGCTGGAACCAATGTTATCGCTGTTCAAAGATCCAATGAGTTAACCAGACTTCTAAACAGTCACAATAATCTTAGCTTCAAATTTCATCACTCAGATTGAATTTTCGATCTGGAACACAGCTATTGCATTTCTTTGGGACACCCTGTTGGAACTATGGGCAATGAAAAGAAGAATTGCCTAGGCAGCTTTTTGATCCTAGAATGATCGTGGACATGTTTCTAAAATTGTGCGATACCAAGACAATCCCGCCTCAACGAGAAAAACAACAAAAGTGTCAAACCTGTAATTCGTCAAGCCAAGGTGATGGTGCTTGCTCAGAACACCTCTTCAAAGCGAATTTATATACCACAAAGCCACTGAAGCCAATGGCTTTCCAGTATTTTTCAACAGTGTAAAGACCTGTAGAAAGACGGTAAAGTTCATGGTCGTTCACAGCTCTTACATATTAGACAGCTTAAGATCTACGACGTCGACGTCAGCTAGGACGTCAGAGCTAAGCAGAGGACTGGGACTAGGATGTCGTCCTAAATAAGTAGATAGCTCAATATCAACGACGTCAAATATTTAGGGCGGCAAGCAGAAATAAATAGGTAATAGTTTTGGAAGTGTGTATGTGTCTCTCTCAATTTGCTCGTCGTCCACCAAACGTCGACAACCTCACAACAAGAGTTTTACCGTCGTGGATACAAGAGTATAGCAAACGGTAATG